GTAATCTTTTTATACGAGTGTAGTGAGATGAGCAGCGCCTATAATAATGAAGTAGGGAGACCGTGAAATGGTGCAGGTGTCAAGTGATCTGCCTACAGATAGAGCACGAACTTTCACTTGGCCTTGGTAGCTTGCAAGTAAGCTAATACGAACGCTCCATAAGTGTAGTAAGAGATGAATCATGCAGTAAAGGAAGCTCCCTGGAAGCTTCCTTGTGTGCAAGCGTGAGGCTGGCTTGTATAACGAGCCGCAGCCAGGTGCGCGGCAACCCCGTATCAGGTTGCCTCCTCCCCGCAAACCCAAGGCCCTGAGCTTAACGCCTAGTAGGCCTGGGGACAGGGGAAGAATGTCAGCTGCTCTTGGGTTATTACGCTTCTCGAGACACTACTTGCAGCGTGAGCAACAGCTACCGGAGCAAGCAGCCGCTGTGGCTGAATTACGCAGGCCCCGAGCAGCAGCCTATTCGGGGGGGTGGGGGGCCCTCATCTTTGATGACCCGATTTTCCACGCATTTTCATTGACTTTCTTGTTACCTAGGGGCCCTTAATTATCAGCAGACATAGGGACGATCTACCCCTGGCTATTTTCCAGTCGAGCAGCAACTGCATGCGCCGCAGTAGCTGCGGCAGGTACTGCAGCGTGAGCAGTAACAGCAGCTGGGATAATTTATTCATGTGCTTTAAACGAGGAATTCGAAAGTCACGAGCATATTACTTCTTCTGCAGAGTGTCGACGGACCCCCCTCACTCTGAGCGTCGGGGGTGGAGCTGGCTGTCGTCCGCTGCTACTGGCACTGCTGCTGTTGCTTGTATATCCTTGCCAGTGTGGACTTCCAGTCATCAGTAATACCTCAAAAAGCCATGAGGGGTAGAGCCTTCGGCGCCCCCCTCCTTCAGCTGTGACACCAGCAGCACTAGCTGCTGACGCAGCAGCCGCAGCAGCAGCAGCAACAGCAGCAGCAGCGATGGAGCTGCCGCCGGTGCCACCTGAATTTGATGCTCTTGCGGACGACTTCATTTCTGCCCTCGGTACTTTCCTTTGTAGCCTCTGGAGCAGACTGCGAAGAAGGGAACAGTGCAGCAACGGACTCCGTCCTTCTTAGAACAACACAACTATCGAAGCCTGCGTGGATGTGTGTGTGCGGTGCTCAGGCCCTAATGAGGAGCGGTCGAGGGTTCGGGCGGAGGCATTTGAGCACCTTCGCGCTGCCATTCTCGAGGCCTTCGCAGATTTTAGGGTCCTGTGGCGGCAGCAACAGGAGTTGCAGGAGCAGCAGCAACACGTACTGCGGCAGCACTCACAGCAAAGTAGGGAGGAAGAACAGCAGGGACAGCAAGAGCAGAATCCTTCGCTCTCGCCGGAGCAGTTGCAAGAGGAACGGCCGCCACAGGTGACGCTACGGGAAGGGCAGTGTGACGGTCAGCAGCAGCAAGAGCCGCAAGGAGAAAACCCAACAGGCAGTCAGGAGCAGGAGCCCTCTAGAGAGCGACACTGCTTGGAGTCAGATACAGTGGATCTGGCTCCCGAGGTTCTGGAGCGTGAGCATGATGAAGAGAAGAAACCGCAACAAGAAAGTCAACCTCAGCAGCAGCAGGAACAACAGGAGCACGAAAGGCGTCTCTGCAGAGGAACTTTAAGCTGCTGCCGCGCGCGCACTGACTCGCCCTCTTCTTTTTTCTCGGTTTCTTCATCCCCTTCACCCACCGCCGCAGGAGCAGCGTTAATGGGAGCAGCTGCAAAAGTTGCAGCACCAGCTCCTGAGTGGCGCCAAGCACCATCGTCGTCGTCCAGTTTCGAGGTCGAGAGGGCAGCCCTGTTTTCTTCTTCACTGCATGCTTCGTCGAATGAACCCAGCAGTAGCAGCAGCCGTTTAAGCCCTAGCGCCGCCCAGGCGCACGAGAACAGCAGCGAATGCAACGTATCAAGCGGCAGCAGTAGCAGCAGCAGCAGTACTAATAGCAGCAANACGAGAACAGCAGCGAATGCAACGTATCAAGCGGCAGCAGTAGCAGCAGCAGCAGTACTAATAGCAGCAATACTGGCTCTAGCGACCCTATCAGCAGTGTGCGATGCCTGTCCGACATATGTGTGGCTGTTCTACGCTACGGTTCTTTTCCTTTGCTCACTTACCTGCCCGATGGAGATTTAGATGTCGGCGTTATAACATTTTCTCCAGAGACGGGGGTGGTAGAGGGTGAAGAAGAAAGCGAAGCTTTTCTGGTGTATCTCCACCTCAGATTTAGACGAGGTGACCTGAAGGTTGAATCACGGAGGGAGGCCTCAGACCCAGCCAGTGGGGATCCCGTCGGAACAGGGAGCCCTCAGAGCACTGGCTCTGGCACACGGGGCTCCAGGGGGCCTCGCATTCGGAACGTACACTTGGTGAAGGCAGACGTGAAGATTTTGAAGCTTGAAGTTGACAGTCTGGCTGTGGATTTGTCGGTTAACAAAGTGAGTGAGAGGCCCTATGACGCAGCGANCTTGAAGTTGACAGTCTGGCTGTGGATTTGTCGGTTAACAAAGTGAGTGAGAGGCCCTATGACGCAGCGAACGCAGAACGGAAACCTGAAACCAGGCCGGGGCTGAGGGTCGCACGGATAGTGGTCGCGAAACCGGAGCATAGAGAGGGACTACATGTGCTGAAACGAGAAGAGAAGGATGCCTAAAGGGCGTCGAAGCTCTGTTTGTTATGTCTGTACGTCACCTTGCCTTTTGCTGCGCAGGTGGGAGGCTGCTGTTCTTTAGTCCTGCTTGAACTCCTCGATCGTCGCATTGGGCGTTTTCACCTCTTTAAGCGCTCAGTGATTCTCGTCAAGGTGAGAGGGATTCCTTTTTGCTGGAGCAGGGGTTCTGTGTCGGGGACTGCACCGGCATTTTATGGTGTCATTGAAACCCCTTGGGGTTGATGCCTGCTGCGTCAGGCTGCACTTTCTAATCTATGTATATGGACGCCCTTCGGAAGGGCGGAGGGTCTCTGGTGTGCCTGGCTGAGAGTGGAAGCTTTGCTGTGCTGAATTCAGAATGCCGATATCTTGAGCGGTTTGTGTTTTCTGCTGCTGCTTCTTCGGCGTGTTGCCGTTTTGTTCATTCTTCCTGTGGCTGCTTCCCAGCAGCCTGCTGCTGCGAGATGCATTTGCGTTGAGGTTTTGAGAGTGANTGGATGGCGTACGAGAGTCATTTACTTGGAAGCCGATCTGGCCTATTGGCATCGTACTGCCTGGAGGTGCTGGTTTGGCATCTGTTTTCCTGTCTCCCGCCATCAAAGCTTAAAAGTCCCCTTCAAGTCCTTCAGGCATTCCTCTCCTACTTTTCTAGCTTTGATTGGGCAGCATTTGCTGCCACTGCGGCGGGGCCTCTTCCCTTGTGGTTGTTGCGCCTCGCTAACCAGCAACAGCAGCAGCACATGCTGCTCCTACAACAGATGCAGCAGCAGGGATGTGAGCCGCAGCAGCAACAGTTGCAGCTTCAACAGATGCCATTCTTGAATGAGCTAATAGAGATTTCAGAGCAGAGCAGCGGCATCCAGAGAGACGGTGATCCGCGACTTGAACGTCTGGCATTCGTCTCTCAGCACATCCACCCTGATAGGGGATTCTCGAGGGAAACTGTCACGGTACACGCTTGCAAGTGCATCGCGAACTTTGCCTTTGTAGAAGAATGCAGGAGACGGTGAGTGTGATANCGGTACACGCTTGCAAGTGCATCGCGAACTTTGCCTTTGTAGAAGAATGCAGGAGACGGTGAGTGTGATATTGTATCCAAGTACGAGGACAAACCAACGTCACGGATACGCACACATGCATATTTGGCACCCACGATAGGCACAAAGCCATGTATGCTGGGGAGTGACAAAGAAGAATGAAGGGTGCCTGCATACGTGTCGGGGGATGCATATGGTTTTTCTACATTTCTTTTGTTAGGGAGGGCTTGCCCTTGTGGCGTGGGGGCGTGGGTGCCGAGTGATGGAAATGGGTATGGTGTCCTGTGCTTCTGTTTGCCTCCTCTGTATGTGTTTTTCTTCCACTTTGTCATCACATCTCTAGTTTGTCTGCTTTTGGTTGGCGACACAGACCTCGAAACAAGTATGAGCTTCCATGGGGGGCTGTTGCTGTTGGTATTTGGTGCAGGTTCCGCATGTGCTATGGAGGCATGGGGGGCCCGTCGCGTTTTTCAGGGACTTCCCGGAGCGGGCCGGCTTTTGGAATGCCAGAACCCAGCTCCCCCACTGCTCATCACAGCAGCGGCAATTGCGGTGGGCGCGGCAGCGCCCCAACGACACCAATGAGCCGTTGGTCTCAGCCAAGCGGGCGGGGCTCTTCTGGGGGTCCCTTTGTTCCTCCTTACCATTCGCGTCCGGCGCCTCGTTCTGGCAGTGCTGGAGCTTTTACACTTCGTTGCATCAATGTAGTGGATCCTCTTTTGAATACAAACAATTTGGGTCGAAGTGTTAGCGAGCCCGCCTTCATTAGGCTGGTGGATGCTCTAAAGAGGGGACATGCCACTCTCACGGCAGTGCTGCAACGGGGCGACAGAGGGGCCTTTCAGTCCCTGGTGTTTAAGAACACCTACAACTATCTCCAGAGGCTTCGACATGAACAAACGCAAGAGCCGCCGATCAGGCCGCTAATCCTCCTCAGACTCAACAGAGGGCCCTCACAGTATCCTCGGGCGGCCCTCGAAGATGACAGGGTACCGTGCCCCACTAGAGACCCGTATGCGGAATTCCTAAAATGCCTTCATTCTAAAACGGGGGGCCTGGTTGAAG